CCCCAAAACCCCAAAACCCCAAAACCCCTGGGTAATAAGAATTAGCTGAAGTCGTATTTTAGTTTAATAACAGTTTTATGATGCTGAAATATCAATATTTCACTATCAAATTGATACACTAGAGGTTTAGAAAGTTTAGAATTTGCATTAGCCCAAACTTTCTTTTATTTAACTTAGTTCTAATTTTCATGAAGAGTTTATCAGAATAATTATAGCTTAAGCTTGACAATATTTTCCAGTTGTGAGAGTATTTCCCAGACCTGAGATTTAGTGTAGTCATAGTTGGTCTTGCTTTTTAATCCATAATGAAAAATTTCGAAGAGGTCATGAAGTCCAGCAGCCTCTTCTTCTGTTGGAACAATGCCAATATAATACTTCTTGTTTTTATAAGTATAGAACACCTGCCACTTGCTCCCGTTCATGCTAACTCCTCTGAAGATAGAGCCGCGATACTTGGAGGCAAAGCCTCCAATTCGGATCTCTTTCTTCGGAGTTGATGGGATCATTATAAATTCAGGACTTGTTGAGCTTAGAGAGAGGTATCTCTGGACTGCTTCAAGCACCTTAGTCCTCTCTTTGCTGAACACCTTGGTTTTCCTAAAGAATTGGGTTAGATAAATTTACAGCTGAATTTTGAGATTTAAAATCAGAAATTTCATGATAGAATTAGGACTTAACCTATTAGCAGAAATATTCGTTGAGGCATATTGAGAAAATATTTAAGCTAACCTAGGCTAAGTAAAAATATCTTGATTGGCATTATTCTTTCAATAGATGTGAGAGCCAGCAGAATAGCAGTTGGGAGAAGAGTGTAGTTAAATGTTCGTATTATTACCCAAAATTTAACTTCCAAAAATACAAAAGCTAGCAGTCTAGCACATGCTTGATGATTTCAGGACTTGTTGTGACAACAAGTTTATAACAAAAATATTGATCAAGGCTGCTTACCTGATGTATTTCTGAAGGAACATCACAATTTTATCGTTATTTTCTCCGAGTTGTTGCACCAGAGAAGAAGTCCCTCTCTTGGTAGTATCTCTATATAGAAATATGAGAAAAGTTTCCTTATGTGACAACATATTAATTTTAAGAAATTTAAGTTGGCTTAATTCAAAACTTACTGAAAAGGCAATAACGATTTATCTTCATGAACATCTTCAGTGTTTTTGGAGTCCTTAGGGCTATAGTCTGATTTTGTAGAGAGTACCGGAAGCCAAGGGCTTCCGGTACTTCTCACAATATCAATACTTCCACGACCCCTCATACTAAGATGCTCTGATTTTGACTCTAAGCTCCTACTCAGAATTCGGTATCTAAAGCTTCATATAACCAGCTCCAAGGTGTTATACTAAAAATTTGGTGACTCCAGGCCTCCAGGCACTGTAGGAAGCTTACCTCGCACTGCTTCTAAAAAGTAGGGACCCTGTGTGCTTGGCTGAATTCTTCAGCAACATATTTTGAGTGACAACACCAAAACGGTTGCTTACTTCTTGGCCGATACTACAGCTGCAGAAGCAGCTGTAGTGCTGCTGAAGTAAGTTTTGCAGGGATATGTTCACTAAATCCATCTTCGCTAAGAATAAATTATTAGGATACAATTTGATGCGGTTAAGAAGGGGTTTTGGGGTTTTGGGGTTTTGGGGTTTTGGGGTTTTGGGGTTTTGGGG